CACACCCCACACCCACACCCACACCTACACCTACAGCCATACCCTCTCGTTAGTCTTACAGTATTGATATTATCTTGTACAAATATTTTCGCTGCTATCAAGTAAATGTCGGTTTGGTAGTATGTTGACCGCCAATGCAACACCCAAAGGAATTTATTTCTTAGCAGAGGATGCCTTAGACATGTGCATCACGACTAACAGAGATGTACTTCTTTTTTTCATGTATAAAATGCGATAACACTAATTCTTACGATGTTAGGATTTTTTCTGTTCTCTACTAGTGTGCTTCCAGAATAACACAGAAGAAAAAATTTGTTTTTTTATTAATGTTTTTACAAAGTGTAGCATGGACTGTTCATAGATTGGTTGTTTTTACAGAATTTTTTTACCGATAATTAACACCATCTGTATGAATTCACATCTCTATGTTTTCTTTTTGTCGTTGAAGATGACTTATACCATAGACTGATATACAGACATGTGTGTTTTTTCATCCTTTTAAAGAGTAAAAGATAGCATCATGCCTTCAGGTTTATTTATATCACAGTAATTATGCAGAGACCATGGATGGATATGGGTGTGAGTGTGGGCGTAGATGTGAACCTGGATGTAAGTGTTTTTTTCATCTACACCCCACTCAAGCATCCACAACCAAATCATGTCTTAATGTGAAATTCATGTATTCGATAAAAATCTATATTGATGTCACGTTCAAAACGTGTAGTTTTCATCAAATCACGTGCGGTAATGGAATTGGACCAAATGGTTCGAAGAGTTGGTCGACTATTCTTCAAGAACTGAATCATCAAAATCGATTCATTGATATACTTAAAATTGATGTAGAAGGTAGTGAATATTCATTCTTTCCTGGTTTATTCAATTCGAATAAAAATTCATGTCCACAAGAAATTCTTGTCGAACTTCATTCAACAAATATCAGTGTTGTCCATAGCTTCTTTCATGTATTATGTGACAATAACTACGTTATTTTCAGCAAAAAAAATTATCTTTTAGCAGGTTCTTAGTTTTTTAAAAAAGTTTTTTGAAATTAAATCCACTTTTTTCATTCAGTCTTATAACAACAGGATCAAAAAGTAAATGTCCAAAAAAAGAATCTTTCTTATTGTAATGTCATCGGAACCCCTATTAATAAAGACAAATAAGAGTAGAAAAATTGTCAATCAGCATTGTCAATCAGCATTGTCAATAAAATGAAAAAAATCTTATACGAAACCTCTGCAGACAAATATAAAACATTATTACGATGAAAACAGTAAAAGATTTTTAATGTATGTAAAACAGTTTGATAAGATATGACTTGAAAATAAGATTGAAACAAACGAACAAAGGAAAAGTATAAAAATCGAAAAGCATGGAAAAACTTGTATATAAAACAGTAGAAACCATTATCGTAAACTATTTTGATAATTTGACTTTCAGCAGCTTCGAAATCTTTTCCTGTGAGACATATGTTTCGTATGCTTATCACCATTATTCTCTTATTGTTTCACATGACATTAAAATAAAAAAAATGAAATGTATATCACATATATGTGACGACTATTTTACTCTCGTTTTGCTTTCCTCTGCTTATTTCGCTGACGGAACACTTGTACATATGACCGAAAATAAAAAATACTTATTCACATATTCATGATCAAGAATTCAATTACAAGTTGTTAAATAAAGTGAATGATTTTTCATATGTTGTTGTTTCATCATCAGAAATTATTTTGTTCACGATAACTGTAGATTGTTTGATATAAAATAGAAGTACAATGAAAGACAATAAAGACTCAGTTATAGTATTTTAGGGTGTGGGTGTGGGGTGGGTGTGAGTGTGTGTGACAAAAGAGCAACATCCGTACCCACAAACTCATACCCACACCCACACCCATACCCACCCACACCCACACCCACACCCACCCACACCCACGCCCACACCCACACCCACGCCCACACCCACCCACACCCACACCCACACCCCACACCCACACCCACACCCACACCCACACCCCACCCACACCCACACCCACACCCTTAAAAAAAAGTGGCCGCGACCATTTTTCCAATAACTGAAGAACGGAAGCAGCTAGTGAGCTGCGGTTTTCACCAGTCGAAAGAGACGACACTAGGGCATCCTTTTCTCCGATATTGTATAGCACGGAATCATTTTAAAAGCAAATGTTTTTACAAAACATCGAAACAATGCACAAAAATTAACTTTTATTGAGATAAAATTTTCAGAAAAACTAAGAAAATTTGCTTAAAAATGAAGAGAAATTCATACTTTTCTAAGGAGTAAATAAAGAATTTGATTTCCTTAACATTATAATACGTGAAGATGATCATTCAGATTATATGTTAGACTATAGATTGATGGCCCCTCTATCCAAATCACAATGTCAAAACCAAAATTCATCGGAACAGCATAACGTTTTCATGGATTTTTTTCGGTGTTTTGCAGAAATGATTGATCTTAAAATGATTTCATGTTACACAATATTGAAGAAAAAGATGTCCTACTGTCGTCTCTTGCGACTGGTGAAAACCGCAGCTCACTAGCTGCTTCCGTTCTCAAGTTATTGGGAAAATGGCTACGGCCACTTTGTTTTTAACAGACAATAGATGTTGTTTTATTAACGATCATAAAATCTTTACTTCGTGCTTAATGTACTATTTAAGTTGGAAATAATTTTTGTCACGGGAATAGCGCTACAATTTCAAATAGAACACATAATGAATTTTATACTAAAGAAAAGCTCGTCTAAAACGGGGTTTATTGATATTGAACAGTAAAAGGTTACGCAAATTTTTTTGTGTTAAACTGTCTAGAATTAGGAAGTTTTGTCTTCCCTAGGTGTAAGAAAAGTTATGGAGGAGAAAAGAGAGTAAGGGTAAGATTCGTGGACTCATGTGATCTTCGCTTCCACCCCATTCTCAACTTCACACGCTCAAAATTCCTCAAGCGTCGACAGTTCTTACATACGAAAACTTACATAATCCTTGCTGTTTACTACCTATAAATCTCGTTTTTGACGGACTTTCTTTTGGCATAAAACTCATCATTTACTCTATTTGAAATTATAACATTGCTCCCTAGCTAAATATTATTTCCAACTTAGTTCATTCTGTTTTTACTTCTGAAGAATAATTTGATAAATTGCGTAGATAATGTGAATATCACTTTTCTTTTTAAAGTAACAACAGCGTTAAAATAAGAAGATAAACTTTGATTGTAATGTAACTAATCGTTTACGTATTGTCCCAAAATATTTATTCATACTCAGATTAAAAATGATTATTAAACAAGTAATTATCACTCGAAGATGATATACAAGCTCTATTTTCAAGAACTACGCAAAAAAGAATAAGATGAAATCAAATTAACAGTTCTGATTTGTTTGTTTAAGTCCGCTTGTACTGACACCCATATTTGATAAGATCTTTTTCAATGCATCAACTGTTTCTGAAGATAACGTTTTTGTTCGTCTAAATTAAACAAATATCAAGAATAAAAATTCAATGGAACTCTAAAAACAAAAACGAAGTTTTTTTCATACGAAAGAAACCATATTGATTCCCATTTAAACCAATTGAAGAAAAAATTGCGACATGAATAGACCAGTGCATAATCATTATAGTTTGTACTGATTATATTATAGTCACCCTGTAAATCTGTTCAGGTAGACAAACAAGCACTTACAAAAAAAGAATTATTCAAATATAAATGATCCATACTTGGACTATTGAAACTAACAACTAATGCACCGGGTTGTGCAGAATTTTTCACTTTCGCTGTTCCATTTATACTAGTATAATGACCAAACAAGTTTACAGCTTGATTCCATACTCCAATCGAGCCATCATCATTTAGTGTATAAGTTGCATTGACACATTTAGCACCAAGTTCAAATATAATAGTATTTCGATATATTTCATACCATACACCTGCATACTGAAAAATTTCTAAATCTATTATTGAAAAATATTTCCTTCTAGAAGAACTTACTCTACTCGCAGTAAATTCAGATACGGTAGCAATATTCGGACATTTTGCAGCCTGTAGAATACCGTTAAAAGAGAAAAGAACAACGATGACTACTGTTGAAAATAACATGATTGAATAATATGAATATACTGAGTCTCGATATCGCCTTTATATAGAATATGAAAATGCAAGTTTTCGGTGTGTGATAAAATGAGGCAAGTGACATGCTACTGACTCTAAGGTAAAGAAACGAAAATAACAACTAACGAGCAGAATAAATATTGTCATGCCAAAATCTCCAATAAAAACATTTAAGGTAAATAGCAAATAAGAGCACCGAGTGTTTGGTAAAAGCTTTAGTGTTGATTTGATGTTTTAATAGATGAAAAAAAAATATGCTATTTTATTTCCATATCTGTTGTCGTCTTGATTTATATGTTTCAAAGTTGAAATAGCACTTTTTAATCAATTCAACAGACTTTCAGAACTAAAAACATAAATCGATCTTCAGTGAGAAATATTCAGCAAAAAAGTAGTTTCTTGTATTTGAAATTTATTACTGTCTGTTCAGTTTCTACTGCAGTTTGACTATTTCAACAAAATTACATGAAACAGTAGAGAACGAAATTTTTTTGTGATACATCGAAAATCATTCATTCTTTTAAATAAGATACAATTTTCTGTTAAGGTAAAAGTCAGAAATCATAACATTTTTTCTCTCAATATCAGACACACTGCCATTGTCAGACTCAAAAGTCGAAAAAAGATCGTATTTATAATGATTCATTTTATATATATACTACAAACACATTATATCGAACTCAATTGCCCATCATCAAAAGAAGTCTATTTAAGTTAAGAAATTTATAAATGTAAATTCTTTGTTTTCAGTTATAATTTAAAACGACTGAATTTTAAACAGTATTTACAAACACGTTCGATGGACTGGTGATTTTTGATTTCTACTGCAAGAAAAATCAATCGAAAAATTTAAGATTTCTTTATTTCATTCGATTTTCTTCAGGCTTACAGAATATCTGATAATGTTTTGTTTCAGCAAACTGAGGGTTAGAATGCAAACCATCTTTCTTGCTATTAATCATACTTTTAATCCTTCGAGTGACAGTTTCAGAAGGGATATCCAATTTCTTTGTAAGCCGATCTTCGCAAACGAACCATTCTGTCAATAAAATAATCCTTCATAACTAATCTGTAAATCTTGTCACGTCATTCCTATCGCAAAATAAATCGACATGTTATGGTCAAGAAGGAGAAGATTGTATTTTTATCAACAGACTTTTTTTGTCTAGTCCACTACATATACGAGAAGTGAATCCATAGAATTAAATCACACCTGTTTTCCATTGGTCTCGAGAGCCCAGATCAATCACACACTGCCGTAAACGGCCGTTCACTAACCAAATACGGCGAATAACGACGGCTGTTTACAGTAGCTGTTTACGGCGGCAGTAAACGATGCTTTGCAGTATATTACGTCAATCGTACATGCTCACCGTACAGATCCGACGTAAACTGCTACTGTAACAATACGGCGACTGTATACTGTCGTTGGAAAACAACGTAAGGCATCGTATACGTCCACCGTTTCCGATCACCGTTTACAATAGTCGTACCTAATGCATTACGGCATACCACAGCCACTGTAAACATCGGCCGTAAACTGTCGCCGGTTACGACTCTCGTGGAAACGCCACGGCCGTATACGCTAGTATTATAAAATCTCGTAAGACGTCACTGTTAAAGGATCCATCAAAGCCTGCTTTGCTGTATCTCCATGAAGGGATAGGAGGGGATCCATACTTATACCCACCAATCGATAGAGCATCCCAAAGAACCCTAGAATAGGCCCGAACATGACTACACATGTGCACACAATAAGGGAGAAAAGGTCTCCTGAAATCTGATTCGTCCATTTTAACCGACCACTCAGAGCCCCGATTTCAATATCCATATGAAGAGATAGGAGGAGCCCATACGTATACCCCTCAATCGATAGACAATCCTCAATAACACTAGGATCGGCACGAACATGCCCATGTGTTCTCCTTATAATAAGAGAGAATAGTCCTCCTGAAATCTGATTGGTCTATTTTATGGACTAGGTGTGTGTGGGTGTGGGTGTGTGTGGGTGTGTGGGTGTGGGTGGTGTCTGGATGTGGGGGTGTGGGTGGTGTGTGGGTGTGGGTGGTGTGTGGGTGTGGGTGGATGTGGGTGAAGAGAAGATTACTACCCTCAGACGCATCCCCACCCACACCCCCACCCCCACCCCCACCCCCACCCACACCCACCCACACCCACATCCCACACCCACACCCACACCCACACCCACCCACACCCACATCCCACACCCACACCCACACCCACCCACACCCACATCCCACACCCACCCTTACTAGGAACAAGATTGTTAAATGTTTCCAATAACTATTTTATTAAAAATATTTCGTTGGAAAATTTTTCATTTACGTCAGTTTATACTAAAGCTCTGAAATATTCACCCACATCCTCACTTCCAACTTCAATCATGATATTTGTAGTGCAAGAATGGCTACCGGAAAGAATCTACCAATCTCTTGAAAATTATGATATTTTGCGTCGTGGGTGTGGGTGTGTGGTGTGGGTATGGGTGTGGGTGGGTGTGAGTGTGGGTGGGTGTGGGTGTGGGTGTGGGTGTGGGGTGTAGGTGTGGGTGTGTTATATGGATTAGAATAGTATTCATGCTCACCCACACCCGCACCCACCCACACCCACTCACACCCACACCCCCTACCCACACCCGCACCTCCACCCACGCCCCCCCCCCACCCACACCCGCGCCCACACCCGCACCCACACCCGCTCTCTGAAGGAAAGGTCGTAAAAAACGCAGCAACCCCTCATTTTGTTCAGAATTTTATGCTCTTTAAGATGGCTTTATCAAAAAATAATTTCCACAAAGTTTTCAAGGACCTGAAAAATACGGTTTTCAGTCTTTTAGAAACCTTGCCGTCATAATCTGTCGATAAAATCCTGGTGTATAATGTGTTTAATAGAGCTCTTCATTGGCTATTCAAATCACTATTTGGATATCTTCAACAAATCATTTTGAGCAAAATAATTCATAAAATAAAAGATGCTCTAAAATTTTGTCCGCCACTATAAGTTATGTTACTTTACTGAGTAAAGTAAAGCCAAATGCTTTACTTTACTTTAATAAAGTGAAATAAAGATAAAGTGCCACCCCTAAATATGAAGTAAAAGATTCTTGAAATAATTCATTTATGAGTTTATCGGTGGTGAAATGAATTTGCCACTAAATAAGACAATATTTTGTCGACTTTCACGAATGAAGAATAGAAATGGACGATCAGCTTTAAATTCAATGGGCTGTGGTGGCGGTAAGCTTGGTCCATGATGGGTGATGATAACGGCTGTAGCTGCTGCTGCTTCTGATCCTAAATGAAATAATAGAAAAAAAAAGATAAAGAAAAATCTGTGAATTGCTAAACATGTTTTCAAACGGATATCAAAGATTTAGTGTAAACATAGTCAATCTTTTTATTTTAGTGTATCAGAAACATGTACTTTATTGCCGACATAATTTTTTTTTTGATCAAATTCTGAGTAAATTTTATATTCTCAAATATTGAAGCATACATTAACACGATAAACTTATAGATTTAAGAAACTGCCAGTTAATAGCGTGAGAGTTTTTTAATTTCTCTAATGGAAAACAAAAACAGATAGTCATTGGCAAATTCAATGAATTCAATTTTTGATGTTTTTCGATATCTTTTCGTAAGTTCTACAGCAGTAGCAGCTATTGCTTTCGATCCTTTGTTGAAAAGAATAAAAACTAAAAAATATTCTTCTTTTGTGGAACTCACATATATTTTCGAAGAAAATAGTGAGTGTAAGTTTTAAGGTCAAGTTTTTTGCGGCTCCCCCCTCTCTCCATTACAGACACATAGTAACAAAAAAGAACATTACAGGGATCCCCCCCCCCTCCCCCATTACAGACACATAGCAACGAAAAAGAACGTTACATAGATACCCCCTCCCCTTACAGACCATAGCAACTTCACAAAAAAAGATTCTACTCGAAGTATATAAATGAAAAACGACAACATTTCCTAACAATCAATTATCATTAGAAAAGAATTATCGTCTCTGAGAGAATTTAAACATTATATATGTTGTCATCAGCAGAGTGAAAGTAAAGAAGATATGTGAGTTCCACGTTTCAGCCCCAAAGGGGCTGCGCTAACAAGCTTTTTTTAAAGATATCAATCAGTTAAAACAAACGAATAACAGCTATCAACATTAATTAAGATGTCATTCGAATCACAAATAAGAAAACAGGGCCCCGAATGGGATGAGACAATCCTATCCCTTCCCATGGAATTGTCGTTTTTTGTTCTCATGAAACGAACCAAGGTTTTTTCCTGTTGAAATCTGTTCCAACAGGGTGCTTTATAGGAGCTCTGAGTAGTAGAATTCATTATAGGCTCAGTGTTAATCTTATTCTTCAACATAAACAGATTCATTGCTGACTTTTTCTGCTATTTTTCATGAAAAAATTTTAAATCTTTTTTCAGAAGTTTAAACAGTGAAATCTAAACTTATTTTTGTGAAATTCTATGTGCTTCACACTAGTTTTTATTTTTGAACACACTCCTCCATAGCTATTGATTATGTAGATAAAAAGACATGATTATAGAGAATTTTGAGTTCACATCACTTTTCAACACAATTTTTTATAAGTTTTAGTTTAGAGAGAAGTAATCGGTAGATAGTTGATTTTGATGGATTCTGTTGAATTCACTATCATAGTCATTGTGGTTCGCCAAGATCCTAATACTCTAGATTCATAATTTCATTCTTGATGAAAGCAGTAGGATATAACATGCGATGCAAGTCTTGGTAAAAGTGTCAAACTCTGTTAGACCATATTGACAACTTCTAAGCTAATCAAGGTTTTTTTTGTTAGAAAGAGCAATGTCTCAGCTGCAAGTTTTGTAGCAGACACATTTTTCTAGAACGAATCTCAGAAGGAGAAAAAAAACCAAAAAGCAAACATCTCTAAAAATGTTCTTGGAATTTAACCATTGTGCAACATCATTTTCTATTTTCTGTTAGTTTTTTTTGTATCAGAAATGATATGAACAAACACATTTTATGATGATTTTTGTAGGAAAAAAAGTGTTCTTTTTAATGGTGTATTGGAAGTTAAATTTACTCTTAGTTTTTATACCAAAATATAGCTTATTCCGAAATAAACTGTACAGTTTGGTCGTTCCAGCTACCTGATTGTTTTTCAGTAATAAAAAATACTTTCTGAGTTTGTTTTTTCTGCTAAGTTTCTATGATCTGACATATTTCGAAAAAATAACGCACAAAGAATTCACTTCATGCATGATTTTTGGAGATTGTGGCTAATGTCCTACCCAACTGATAGTTCTTGTAAAACACTTTATTTTACAAAAATTTCGATTTTGATTCGAGAGTCAAGAACGGATCGAAAAAAATTTCCCAAAGCTGATATCGATAGAGCTTTTGATGTGCTACATTTTGGTGTATTTTTTGTTGGAATTTGATCCATGTAGCTTCAAATAATTGAGAAATAGAAATTTTTACAGTTGCAGAAACGTTGCAAGAACATTTTTTTTTAAAGAGATGTTTATTTTTTGGCTTTTCCTTCTTCTGAGATTCGTTTTAGCAAAAAAAATGTCTGCTACAAAATTTGTAATTCAGACATTGCTCTTTCCAACAAACAAAGAACTTCATTGATTTAGAAATTGACAATATAGTTTAATAGAGTTTGACATTTTTGCAAAGACTTTTGCATCGCATGTTATGTGATTAGTATAAAAAATTATATGTTAAATAAAGTGATCTAAAAATGAACTGATAGAGGGAAACGAAGATAATTGAATAAAGAAGTCTTATAAGCCGATTCAAGGCTTGAAAACGAATCTTTTTTATTAGATGCGTTGTCCAATGGGATCCCATGGAATGTAGTGGGACAAACCAGTTTGTTCCATGGAACGATTATTTTCGTCTCATTCCATCCCATTCAGAAATCTGTAAGAAAAATATTTTCAGTGCGTTATATACTCATTTATATTAGCAGTTTTTAATTTTTCAACGAAAAACTCAAAGGAAAATTGTTAAGAAATATAAAGCCATATTTTCCTGTTTTTTTCCTAAGGAAAAAAAAAAATAAGCAATTAGCTTTAAACTCAATCGCCACATTCATTATCTTCCAAATATTTGGTTTTTCGTCCCGTCATTACTGTTGTTCCTTCAGAAACTTCACAAGTAAGAAAATACATTAACTTTATCAAACAGACTACTTTTCAAAAAAAAAAGAAACAAACTGACCTTCTTCATTTACATCAATAAACGCTTTGTGAATAACCTAAAATATTACATTGATTAACATTTTCTTATCAATAAATTATTTACTTTGCTAATGTATAAACGATCTCTATCATTTTTTTCGCTAGCGATACCTGTAAAATTTGCTTTATAACTATTAAATGCATCTTTCATTCCAAGTTGTTGAAGAATATTACTTAATTCAAATGTAGCTTCCATTTTAAATTTTGGTAAATATAAATGAAGCTCTTCTATTCTTGTATTTTGATGACTTAATAATTTTTGTATTAAATCAGATTGTGATGCTAATTTTTGTTCTACAACATCTAATTGAACTCCTCGATTAGGTAAAATCACCGTAAAAACAAATTCAACATCTTTATTTTCACTTATATATGGTACATGAACAATTTGTACATATAAATCATTATTCTCAGCGTAAGCATATTTCTCTCGTTGATGCATTAATGTTACTTTAGAAATTTTACCATTTGTTTCATAAAAATCAGCATCTTTCTTTGTTAAATTTTGGTTAAATTCTTTTATCCATGTACCCTATTATGTAATTAATCAAAAATAAATTAGTTTTTCTTTCATTAAAATGAATATTTACCTTGAAATAAATACTATTAATAAGTATTAATCTTGTTTCAGGTGTTATATCTTTTGTTGAAAGTAAATTTCGAATTAACTTATTTGTTTGTTGTTCAACCCATGCATTGATTCTTTGAACAGCTTGAGCACTTTCATTTTCAAAATCTTCAAGTTTAATATCTGCTTTAAATGAATTTTGAACAATTTTTAAATATTCTTCTTGAAGTTGATATG